GGTTCAGGCTGAGGCCACTTCAGCATCCCCTTGCCGAACTTGGCTCAACCCCACCTCGCACAGCTGGGATTTGAATCCCAATGGGAAGGCGCTGAGCACCTTCCTCTCACACTGGTGCTGGGGCTCAGCGCTTGGCATGATTCAGCCACGTAGCTCTGGCCACCGCCCAATATTATTCCCGCTGAAACTGAGGACAGACTTCTTGCTGATTTTAGTAGGTGTGGGATCACTTTATTAGCAATACAGCATGGGCCTCAACAGAAGGGGGTTGCTCTTGCCTTCTTTCCGTTGAGGGGTACATGGGCACCGCGTACCTGGGGCTGCTTCTCATCAGTCTGCTTGGGAGCTGGTGGGAATAGCCTGTGCTCTAGCACAAGGTAGATCACATACAGGAAAACAGGAGGCAGGCAGAAACAGCTCATCTGGCTGATGTCTTCCTACGTTCCCTAGCACTGAATAGAAAACCTCTGATCTGGGCAAAAAGAAAACTTAAAGATCAAAGAACACAAAAATAAAGCAAAAATGTGACCTTTACTGCTCTTTCATCTCCCACTGTTTGGACTGAAGAACCCGATCTATAAGTGCAGCTAACTCCAGAGACAAACGTACTCTTTCACAGTCTTGTGTGTGTGCAGCACTAGAACAAAGTCACAACTACAGGTGCAAAGGAACAACGTTACGGTCCGCAGAAGACCTACTCTGTGCACTCACCAACAGCTTGAGTTTACTGATAAAGTTAAGCAAAGAGGTTCATTCTTCTTGAGCACAAATGAAAAATCCATCACACCAGCTTCTATTACAGAAAGATTCTAAACTGACATAAATAATTATAGTCTTGATTAAAAATAATATATTATTCTAGATTTTTGGTTTTTTAGTTTTCATGTAAAACCCCTATACTCTTGACATCTAGGAACAAAGACAAAATAAAAACCAGGCACTTGCTGTGCCTTCTCAAGCATTATTGTGGTGTTTAAGGGACACAGAGGAACTTAACAAATGAGATTAATGCCTACAGTGGAAAACGAGAGGAGTTCTTCATGCTGTCGGCTTTTTCAAGTCTCGGATTTGCTTAATCAGGTAGTTCTTCTCATCAGTGAATTGTTCGTCATCCGTCCTCTCTTTCTGGAAATTGCTCAGAAACTCAATTAGCTTGGGTTGGTTTTTCAACAGGATCTCCACAATAGGCTGTGTCTTGTTTGGACTGGCCACAAAAACCTAACATGCAAACAAAACCAGGCACAGTGAGACACAGAGAGAGAGAGAAAGGAACATCAGTCACATCATCCCCATAAGGTATTTTCTAACAAGTCAGGTGAAGGCTGGCAGGTAGATACTCAGCTGCTACACACCTTGTCCCAAGGCAGAGAGAGAGGAGTTAGTTACAAACATGTTGGTCCAACAGCAAATTGAAGCAAAGCTATGCCTGTGTGTGGTATTGCTTCCCTTTAATTTTGCTCTTTGTTGATAAAAGCATTTGATTGTAAACCCAGCTGCTGAGAGTGAGCTATCAATTCTCAGCCTCTTCCACATGCAAGACTTAAATACACAGAAATTAATTATCAGGAGAATGGAAAAGCTTTGTGTCAGTATTGATATCATTTCCATACTAAACTAGGGCTAAAATTAGATTTGCCAGCTTTGTTTTGGTTTGGAAAAATATGTCAGAGGCTCCACTTCCCTCTGCCTAATCCATTCATGGGAGCGTGGAATTTCCAGCAGCAGGAGCGGCATGGTGCGCCCGGCGCCTTCCCTGCCCTCGCCGAGCAGGGGAGGGTGGCGATGCAGGGAGGTGATGGGAGACACAGATAGTCACCTGGCGCAGCCAGCCCAGCGCTGTGAGCTTACTGGTCTTCTCAAATAGCAGTTTTTAAGGATAAACCTAGCTGTGCTCTGATTTCTCCTCCTCTAATGCCTACAGCCGCAGAGTTTTCCAGCTCTAGACATGACCCCCTATGCTGTGACACTGTTTCTTTAACATTTTCTCTGCCTTACACGCTGGCTGACGACAGGAAACTTAAGGCCAGTTGTAAAGGCCAGCGGTGACAAGCTCTTCCCAGGGACCTCAGGATGCCGCGGAGATGCGGGCTCTGCAGACATCAGTCAGGGAACACATGTGCAGCACACCCCTGGCCACCCCGGGAGGAGCTCCCACATCTGGCTCGCGCCGAGGTTACCATGGCTGGTCAACAAAACACCGCCGGAGCGCTTGTGCAATGACATAAATAACTCTAGTTATTCTCTACCCGATGAGAAGAAATTAAGGATGGACAGGACTGGAAAACATCCAGTTTCCCTCCAAGCCTGTTCAAACCAGAATGAAAACAAACATTTGCTGACAGTACAGAATGGCATGTTGTCCTGCCGAGCGCAGGCGGCACCACCACTTGCCCAGCCCCGGGGCTGCTGGCTCCAGACCTGGGGCTCTTCTGCAGGTTCATTTATCTCCGCTGAGATTGTGCCCACACGACAACCTGGGCCACGTCCAGCTGCGCAGGGAGCTGCCGCGTTACGTGATGGGGAACACACACACTCCGTCCCGGGGGGCTGCGTTACAGCCCCTTGCCCCCAGAAACAATATCTGGTAAAGCCTGGGACAGGATTCAGACCGGACCCATCGTTAGGCTTTGTACATCCCAATTAGGGGATGTTATACGAGTGGTGTGAAAAATGCCACGCATGGGGAATGTGTGGAAGGAATGGGGCTCGGCACACATCAGCAGTGCCACACTAAGTACTTCTGCCCAGACAGGAAGGTAAGACTATTTTTTTTATTCCATAAAGGTGAGGTAACACTCTTAAATCCTGGTGTCCTGATGCCGTAAGAGCCCTAATCCCTGCCTATGCTTTTGTCTCCTCTGGATCCCTCCTCCTCAGGTTGCTCCTAGGAGTCCCTGCTTCAAGGTACTTTTCCCTCTCGTCTGGGGAAAGAGCTGCAACCTCTGCCGTGCTGGGTGAACGCTCCCAGGCCCCAAGTCTTTTACAAAGTTTTCCTTGATCTAGTGGCCAGGCCTTGGTCCTGGTGACAGTATAGTATCTACAGTTATTCACACCATCTTTGCACAGGCCTCCACACAACCTTTCTCTGATTGCCCTGAGCTATAAGCTCAAATAATTTCTTTTTATGCCTACTTGCCACCTAAAACTTCTCAAGAGTAGCACCAACAGCCCCAATTCCTAAGGATCCCTTCAGAGCAGCCACTCTAAAATAACAGCTTTCCTGTGAGATGCTCCAAGCCCTCAAAGTGCAGCACCTTACCAGGGACACATCCATCAGTGGGTCGGACAGCCAGTTCGCAGCTCTTGCCACACTTGATGGACTGTCGATAGCTGATTGTTCTGTCGCTGCCTGTAGCATCTGAAAGCAACACCCCTTCCCTTGCAAATAACTTTGATACGCTGCTATTGATGCGTTGGTTCCCCATATGAGAAATAAAGCATTTGGGGATGTAAATCACTACTGAATGTACTTTACAGCTTCCAGTCTGTGCCTTATCTAAGGAATACAAATCTTGAAGTCTCGTGGGTACGAATGTTTGGCTTTGGCTGAGTCTACGGCCATTCACGCTCTCAGCTCAAGCAGCCCCACGATGCAGCTCCCCATGTGCTGACCCACAGCAGGTCACCGTGCTGATGGAGGCTGGATACTTCCAGGATTTGGACTGTGATTAAGCCCTAAGTTGTCCGGACAAGCTTCCTTTGAGAAAAACAGTACATAAGACTACAGGCAGGGACGAGGAAAGTAACTGTTACAGATCATCATTAAAAGTTTTTAATTTTGGAGTTCAGTTCCCCCTTTGTAACGAGGAGAAGAAAACAATGAAGCAAAGTGACAGGACCCACATTTTCAGAAATAATCTGATTACAGCCTGAACTTGAAGTGCTGAACGTCTTCCTTCAATGGATATTAGACCTCCTTATAAAGATAACTGAAGGCTGACTCTCAAAATTAAGAAAGCTAAATCATTCTTCTTGTAAAAACTGTCTGATCTGCAAACAGAACTGGAAGGTTTTAGTGGTAAACCTAGTAAATACCACCATTTCATATTGGTCCTAGAACTAGTATTACCAGAGCAAATAATTAAAGAACTTAGTTTAATAGAAGACATCACATCCTGTTTATCTTCCTGCTCGATTATTTATAGATTATAACCTTCCCCTTGCAAAACTGTCAAACTGAACATTCAAACAAAGATCATCTTGACTGCCAGTCTTGCTCAGTGTCAACAGGGACTCATAAAGACAGAGTGTTAAAGGACCAGAAGATTCCTGAAATGTTATTCAATACTTCGGCTAAGCAAACAGAATCAATTCTGCCCATATCAACTAACCAGCTTCACAAAGCCCAGAATTAGGACCACCGTGAGACTTTATTTTTAAAAGAGCCCCCCACATTCAGAACTCCATATTGTCACAGAGGAGGAGATAAATCCCTGAAAACAGAAATCATTATTAACGCTATCTGGCACATTTGTACTAAAATGAAGTATAACTGAAGCTAAAACACTTCACAGAGAACTTTGTTTAACCTATGGTTTTATTATGAAAGGCTGTGTGTTCTAGAGTACTTAATTCAGATATATAAGACAGAGACCAAAATAAAGAGAATACTCATATTAAAATTCCAACTCTAAAAATAGCCGTTTCAGCACAGTTCCATTTTGTGAATATTTGCAAAAGGCCTGGAATGAAAATAAATTCTGAAGCTTCAAAAGTTGTCCAAAGTGGAACTGTTGCTCTCTTCTCTATTAGAAGTCATACACTGGAGTTCTTCAAACAAATACCAAAATCTCTTGATTAGAGAATCTGACCTTGTTTCCTTATGATTAATAACCAGGCATCACCACCCTTTGGGAGTGCAGCAGAGCAAAAGCGATTACAGAGGTTGGATACCCTGGATTAGGTATTTTAAGATTTATTCTGGGATCACGCACAATCTTACTGCGTCAGGAAACTGCACGCAGAAGTGCCTTACGGTTCGTGTTGCTTATAGTGCAATGCTTCGCATAACACTTCTTGCCCTATAAACTCTCCAGCTAAGAAACAGAGAGGACACATCCCCCCAGACATGGTTTCAGCTTCGTACCAAGAGGAAACTGTCAGCATGGTCAAATTATTTGAGACCATTTGCAGAGCAAGCTGCAGGAGGTAGCTCTGTAATGTGCACAGAAGAGAATGGAAAAATGAAACTAAGGTCACAAAACACAGTGTACCCATTCTATTTTTAGATTTAAACATTAAAATATATCTTGCTAAATGTCTTCTTAAGAACAAGAAAGTTGCATAATCCCAATTCACCACTACAGGGTGTTTTCCGCAAAATAATCTAATTGTTTACGTGAAAGCCAAGAGAGCTTGTTATTAGCCTTTATTTATAAATCATAGAATCGTTTAGGTTGGAAAAGACCTTTAAGATCATCAAGGCCAACCGTTAACCTAGCACTGCCAAGTCCACCATTAAACCATGTCCCTAAGCACCCTGTCTACCCGGCTTTTAAATACCTCCAGGGATGGGGACTCAACCACTTCCCTGGGCAGCCTGTTCCAGTGCCTGACTGCCCTTTCAGTGAAGAAATTTTTCCTAATATCCAATCTAAACCTCCCCTGGCACAGCTTGAGCCCATTTCCTCTTGTCCTATAACTTGTTACTTGGGAGAAGAGACCGACCCCCACCTGGCTACAACCTCCTTTCAGGTAGTTGCAGAGAGCAATAAGGTCTCCCCTCAGCCTCCTCTTCTCCAGGCTAAACAACCCCAGTTCCCTCAGCCGCTCCTCATAAGACTTGTGCTCTAGACCCTTCACCAGCTTCGTTGCCCTTCTTTGGACATGCTCCAGCACCTCAATGTCCTTCTTGGAGTGAGGGGCCCAAAACTGAACACAGTATTCGAGGTGCGGCCTCACCAGTGCTGAGTACAGGGGGACGATCAGTTCCCTAGTCCTGCTTGCCACACTATTCCTGATACAAGCCAGGATGCCATTGGCCCTCTTGGCCACCTGGGCACACTGCTGGCTCATATTCGGCCGGCTGTCGACGAACACCTCCAGGT